AGAGAGAGAGAGAGGGAGAGAGAGAGAGAGAGAATAGGAAAAGGAATTTCCCCTTTGAGCAAGCTTTTAATTCGAATTTTGTCGCGTCATTTTATTGAAATCATTTATCACACATTATCTCTTAAGTTTTTATATATTTTATATATATATACGTAAATATTTTTTCGCACCTTTTACATGAGCTAACAGGGTAAAATGACAGATATACAAAGAGAGAAGGGGAGGGGGTATATTATATATATTTTATTTTTATTTTATTTTTATTATATTATATATATTTTAATTTTATTTTTTTTTTAATAATTTATTATTATTATTATTATTATTATTATTATTATATATATATGTATTTTATTTTAATTTTATTTTTATTAAATATAAATTATTTTTATTTTTATTATATTGTATATATTTTATTTTTATTTATTTTTTATTAAGTTTATAAAAATAATTTAAATTAATAAAAATATATATTTATGTAACATATTTATTATACATTAATATAATATATTCTATCGTTGTTTATTAATTTGAAATAAATGATCAAACAATCCTAGTATTATTATTTCTATATAACTATTTTATTTTTTTATTTAAATAACATTGCCAAAATAATAGTCAATGATAAAAAATGATAAAAGGAAATAGCAAAAAGCCTATATAATATACTTATCTATTAAATACCATCCTATTATACCAACACTTTCACCGAATGTATCATATACTTACTAACTTACTAACTTACTTACTTACTTACTTACTTATAATTAGGTTTTTTTTTTTTTTTATCTTTTTGTTTCACATGGTTGTTTCATATGTTAGTAAAGTAGTCGAGACAAGTAATCGAAGCAAGCAAGGAAGTAAGGAAGCAAGTTAGAGTTTTGTCTAAGGATTCTATTTGCTTAAATGCAAGTTAGTAGATAGATAACTATGATTACTATGACTACTACGACTAAGACTACGGTAGCACCCAGCATGGCGGGTATCGAACCTTGCACACTGGGGGATCCAGTATCATTCGTTATATGAGTTAATGACTCTCGAGAAATCATCGATTGGTCCGTCCCGAAGTCGAGACGCCTCTCACGCGCTGTGAAAACACGCCTTCTCACATACTGTAATGGACGAGAGATGTGTGTGATATGGTGTTATGTATGTTTTATTCTCTTACGGTGAATGTACCATTACTAGGTGTTAGTGTTATATTTAAATACACGTGAAAAAAATTTGAAAAACGAATGGTAGTAGGTAGTGGTGGGTGTTGGTGGGTGATGGGTTTGATGAAAATTATTTTTTATCTTCCTTAGAATTAAAAAAAAATRAATAAATAAATAAAACCATAGAAACCTATTGCATCAGTTTTACAACGAGATCTACGAAATACCAAATGTTCTACTATTTTTTATTTTATTTTAAATATTTTTAAAAGCGTGATTGTCGCGTTAGATTAATACATAATTAATTATTATTATAAATCATTCGTTTAACTATCATCGTAAATTTCTTATGACAAAATCCTAAACTCATTTGTTAACGTCACATTAGCAAACGTTACTTGATTACAAATTAAAATAGACAAAAAGTTGATTAAAAATAAAACAACTGTAAAGATTTTCTATTTGAAGTGCACAAGTTTTTTTTGAGAAGAATCTAATGATGAATGTTTTTTTTTCTTTTTTTTTTTGGTTAAACGAATCGAGATCATCGTCGTGAATCATTCTTCCTGATCCTTTAACCGTAGGTGTTTTTCGAACACTACGAAATAGTCTAGTGTGAACAAGGTATATACTATATATATATATATATATTTGATCGTACCAGGTAGGCGGCAAAAGAAAATCGATAAAAGCCTAGGCTCCTGGGTAATCGTAAGAGGATTAGGAATATAATTTTGGATTATCCTCGCGTAACGGTGGAAGGTATATCTATTGATGACATTGCCAATGAATCATCGTTCTGTCAAGGAATTCGATGATAACGTTTGAAGAAATAAGAAAAAAAAAAAAGAGAAAAAAAAATTAAATCATATTAGGATGATCTAATAGACAAACATGACGGTAAATCTTATCACGATTTTGATAATTAAAACAATTTTTTATGAAATAACTAGACAGAAATCTTGTATTCATTTCGATGATAACGTTAGAAGGAAATAAAAGAAAGATAGAAAGAGAGAAATGAATTAAATTATATTAGGATGATCTAATAGACAAACATGACGGTAAATCTTATCATGATTTGGATGATAATTATGCAATTTTTTTTTGTTTTTTTTTTTTTTTTGAGAAAATTACTAGACAGAAATTTTTTTTTCTGTTTTATTCCTAGAAACTTATCGCGATTTTATCGTTAATAGATAGATATGTATTATACTAAGTATTAAAATAATAATAATAGTAATAGACGTATCATCAGAGGATTGGAATTTATTTTGGGTGCAAGGCAATTTGAATTTTTGAAAGATCACATTAATTGTGTTAATTCTAACGAAGAAGATAATTAAGATAATAATATTAGATAACGTTTAGAAATGTAACATATATATAATATATAAATTAAATTATATTTAAATTAATAATTAAAATAAATAATATAATTTAATTATAATTAAATTAATAATTATAATTAAATTATATTATTTTATATATATTTTATAAAAATATTAATTATTAAATATTAAAAATTATTAAAATATTAATTTATGTATTAAAAATATTTTATTATATAAATTAAATTAAATTATATTTAAATTAATAATTAAAATAAAT